GTTTGATGGATATCATCTTTGGTAGATGGGCTTAGGACTGTTCCTGCTGGGAGTGGGAGATCCTTAGGTATACTTTTCTCCATTCCCAGTTGCTGAATAAGTTTTGTTGTATAGGCAGTTTGATGAATGCGAAGTGTGCGCTTCTGCCTATTTCTTTCCACTTGAATTCCGACGAAAGTGTCAACTGGTCCTAGCGCTTTGCAACTCCATTTATTCATGATGTCTGATTTGACGGAATTTAAATTTCCATGTTTCCCAATGATTAGCATATAATCTACATAAAGAAGTACGAAGACACCTCTACCTATAAATAAATTTGTATCAGCATCTCCACTCTTTAAAGAAATTCAATTCAAGTGATCTTTGACTTCTTTGAACCAAATATGCGGGGCTTGCTTTAAATTGTATAGTGATTTTTTAAGTTTGAGGTAATTTTCCTTTCAATTGATTCCAGGGTGTTGTAACAAAAAGAAATCAGGTATCTCCATATAAATCTCTTCTTCTAGTTTTGGATTTAGAAAAGCTGTATCCACATCTAGCGCTTCAATTTCAAGATCGTCTACTGCAACCTTTGATAGAAGTATCCAGAGTGTGTTGCACCGTATTACTGATGCAAAAGTCTCGAAGTAATCAATACTGTACTGCTGTTCAAATCCACGGACAACGATTCGTGCTTTTCGTCTGTCTAAGCTACCGTCACTTCTGAACTTCTTTCCAAGAACTATTTTTCTGGATATTATTTTCTTTCCAGGAGGTGGAGACCCAGTCAAAATTGTATATGTGTTGGTGGCTTGCAGAGAGCGCAATTCTGATTTTATTGCCTCTTTCCATAATTTGGGATCTTCATGCATGGCCTGTTTAACAGTGATAGATTCAAATGGAGGAGTGGGCACTTGAATCGATGACGACTCACTGGCATTAATATGGACTGCTTGTGCAGAAATAGCATTTGCTTTAACGACATGATTGAACACAGCTTTCGCCACTCTTCTCAGCAGTCTGCCAAATTTTGATTTTGGCGGGGAGCAAGGAGTCTGCCCAATTGATGGTTCGATGGCTTCTCGGATAATCTGAGGAGTACTTTCTTTGAAGTTCATTCGCCCTCCTAGATATTCTTGCTCTACTACCCTCATGGTGGCCTCTTCCACTACTGCAGTAGGATGACTAGCCTCGACCATGGGTTCGCATGAGAGCTTCCTCCACGCGTTCTCGTGGCAGCTTCCTTCACGTCTTATTACGGGAGTCTGTAGCTCTACCGAACCTATGTAGGTCTCTTGCTCGTCCATTCTAATGGGAGCCTTCTGTATATAGTGTTGATCAGACGCATCTCCAGCCTCTCGCGGGCGAGTTACAGGATTTTGCAATTCAGAGTCATTTTCGCCCGAACTCATTTCCTCAATTGGGCAAATTACAGCGTACTTCTTACGCGCTTGCTTAATACCTTTCTGCCTAGCTTCTATCAGCTGCGGCTGGTACATCTTTGTTCGCTCTAAAGGTACTTGTCTAGGTGTTAGCACATCTGGTCTATCAGGTAGAGTAAAGAGTGAGATGTCAATTTTAGGGAATTCATATTCATTGAACTCAACATCTGCAGAGATTGTGTCTCTTAGGGTAAGCGTATCAAGTAGCTTCCAAATTTTCGTCGAAGTCATTCCTATCATGATGAATTTTCCTTCTCTAATGTGAGGTTGCCATTTCTGAGGAATTAACTCGGAAGGGTAAAGCACATCTGCTTTGCACCCGAAAACTCTGATGTTGGTTAGATCTGCAGGCTTTCCATGGTATGCGCTGTAGGGAGTGAATTTTTCTGGGGCGTCATTATCAGCAAAAGGTAGCGCGGATGTGGGAGCCCTGTTCTTGATCCAAGCCGCATGCTCGACAGCGTAATCCCAGAGCTGGTGAGGTAGCTGTGCCTCATATAACATAGACCTTGCTGTAACTGCTATAATACCCATCCATCCTTCAACAACTCCGTTCATTGAGTGTTTGTATGGTGGGCTTGGTTCAAATTTTATACCTACTTCTTTCAAGTAGTGTTGAAGGGCAGTACCAAATTCACTCCTGCCGTTGTCAGCCCTCATATAGACAATTTTATTGCCAGATTGCAATTCAGCTTCGGCCTTTATTTGCTTGAATGTGACTAGAACCTCATTCATTTCTTTCGTTCTTAGTAACCTGACCCAGCACATCCTTGTTGCATCATCTACCATGAGGAAGTAGAACCGATATCCTCTAACTGAGATGGACTGGATTCCTGAGATATCGCGGTGAACTCGACGAAGGATGGTGCTTGAACGATTGTCAGATTTCTTATTAAAATTTTCCTTCATCTTTCCTGCTAAACATACTTCGCAAGATTTTGATCCAATCGGAATTGATCTTTTCTTGTTAGGAACTTTTAGTCCAGAGTGTCCTGTTTTCAGAACCTTGTCAATATCTTTGATGTTGATATAGCCCATTCTTCTATTCAAAATGTCCCATTCAGTCTCTGTTTGGTGTGCCATTTGTTGCTGAACTTCTGTGGCTGATGTTGCTTGAGGTATTGATTTTGTTTTAATTTTGAAGACACCATCCTCTCCTTCTGCTTCAAACAAGATTGAGCCGTTTCGTGTTATTTGACAATGGCCATCAGCAAACTTTACATCAATGCCCCTCTTCTTAAAGGCCCAGACGGACAGAAGCCGCATTTGACCAAACTCAGGAATAAACCAGACTTCTCTTAATTCAATTATTTTATCACTAGTCCTAAAAGATATATTGCCATAGCTTTCGCATTGAATAACTTTTCCATCTGCAATTTGAACAGACTTTGGACTGCTCCATCTTTTGAGCGTAGAGAAATCATCTCTCATACCACTGAAATGTTCTGACGCTCCGGAGTCGATTATTGTGAGAATTTCTCTGGGCTTGGTGAGTAATGCATATTTTGTGACAGTTGGGAGAGCTGTTGCATTAGAATCCAGAAGCCGTATAAATTTAAGGAGATTATGAATTCCGCTGGTAATCAAGCTCTGTATATTTTTGGAATTTGTTTTATATTTTCGGATTTTACTTTTACTTGATTTTATTTTGAGTAGGGCCAGACTTTTATCCATATTTAGCTCTGAGCAAGCTGTGTGACTGTGTTCAAGATAATAAGACAGGTAGGGTGAATCATTTGCATTAATATTTCTAACTTGAACATAACGAGCGTCAGTATCTCTCCTAGCTTTATTCTTTTCCTTGGCGGCTCTACTTTGGGACTGCTTAAGGCGACAATCGCGTTCTACATGACCTTTTCTACCACAAAAGAAACACTCCTTTTCGTCCGTTGCTATTCCTCTTTGCTTTCCTTTTCGGTTAAGCTCTCCGCGAGCTTGATCACGACGATCAAAGTGCGCTGTATTGCGTCCCCTTCGATATGTATCACTTCCTCTTTTTCTATAATTGCTGCGTGCTACATTTGCAGATTGTGGTTGATGGGACTGTGTATAACAAATGTTAGACTCGCAAGATTGAAGATATATAATTGTTTCTGCTAGACTTCTACCCATGTTTAGAGCGTGTGATCGAGCCGTAGACCAAAATGAGTTATCCTTAGGAAGAGATGCAATTAGCTGCTCCTTGACATCTTCCTCGGTGATTGGTCTAGAGGTCATTGATAGCTTGACTCTGAGATTATTGAGGCGTAGAACAAGAGATTGGATTGTGTCTGTTCTCGGATCAAGCTTCATGGAGGCGAACTTGTATCTCAATTCTGCAATGGTTGTAGGATCTCTGTTTGGGTCCATTTGGAGGAGGAAGTTCCATAACCCAGCGGGATCAATGTTCCTCAGAAATCCGAGCGACTGCTCCATCAGTTGGGTTTCGATGGAGTTGGATATGATTATCTGCGTGTCGCGGGCTTTGGATAACCATTTCTGTTCCTGTATTCGAAATTCATTGTCATCGGCATCAATTTCATTGTGTGCTGCACCGGAAGAGGCTGATCGTGTATTAGGACGGGAAGCATGTGTGTAATAATTAGCAATAGGCTTCTTCCAAGTGCCATCAGCGATACTTAAAACGCCAGCGTTTATTAAAGCAATCTCGCAAGTAATCCGCCACTCTGTGAATGTTCCGAGGCTCAGAATCACAATGTTCCCCCAGTTAGATTTGTACTGTGGAAGACTGTCATGATTGCGGGTGTCTTTTATTTCTGTAGTAAATGAAGACATTGCTGCAGATTGTTCGAAAAAGGAAGCCGATGAATAATTAGACACCGGTCTCATAACCTGTTGGGATATTGAGAAAGTATAGTCACGGGAGTAGGATAATGCTGATAGTAATGTGCGATATGTGAGGAATTGTATAGATTTAGGACTAAGGGTGTGTAGTGATAAAGGTGTTATGTACTAATGATGTGGACACCTTTCACTTGACCAACTAGCTGACTAAGCAGCATTTCCTGACATCTATGTACTGCTATGAAGGTCATGTGACCTTTCTAGCTTAGTTAACATGAGTAGGTGAAATGTTACCCCTAGACAGTTAGCTATAGAGAAAATTGGAAAATACCCTCGCATATTTGATTGCTCCAGCATAGACACTCGAACCGTGATAGTGTCCTCCTCGATTGTCATATTCCTCATTTGTTACTTTTTGTGACTCGTTCAAGGCCATTTTCTATTCTATACCGGCAACTTTTTAACCTGCCACACTTTCACGCTTGAATGACATGGTGGTGGGTTTCTTGACAGCGAGAAATTTGAAAATAATATCAAAATAACTCACAAACATTTACAGGACGCAGGAAGATTTCAGCAGCCTTGTAGTCGTTATCATAACATATTAACAACGAGAAAAATTGTTTTTATCAAACTATCTAGAGGTACAGAAATTTAGCTTCTTGTATTAGAATTGAAATATACTCTGTCAACCTCGTAAATAACCTAATAAGTATCGATATTTTGTGCTACTTCAATAACTCCCCTTTTATACATTTGGAACACCCATCCTTCATATTATGCTAAGGTATGCTCCTAGGCTCCACGAAGAGCCCAACCGTAAATCTGTGCATGTGCCGAATCTGCGTCATCGTCCATTGATTCGTCAGACATCGAGTCACCATCTGATCTCGAAAATTCACTAGATCGCGATGAGCTCTGGGTGCTATCGATAGGTCTTGCTATTGGCTTCTTTCCGGCTGAATGTTTCCCCCAAATGCAGTTCCTCCATGTATCTTCCTCTTTGATTAGAACACCAAAAAATTCATTACCTCTATTGACGACGACAAAATAAGGGCCTGTTTCGCCTACCTTAGATGTTAGCTCTCAGGCTATAGGACGGAATAATTAAACCAACGCACCTCCATTGTAGATCTCGCCGCTTTCAAGAATGGGAAAAGCGTACTTGGGTTGCGAACGAGGTTTCGGTATACCCATGATTTTGATTGGATATTGTGCCAAGACCATGTCCTTTTGGAGTGGTTCTGGCCGAGCTCTTAACTCTTCAATCTTTTCTTCCACCTCTATGATTTTCGATTCGTGAAAAAATTTTCCGTCACAGGTGTAACCACGATCAATTTCACGCGAGGAAAAAACGATGCTAGGGATTGAGAGAGCAAGTATTGAAGCGACGAAGTTTGGCTTGAAATAATGCATTTCGAGTGGATTTTTGCGATGGATGCTTAATTTGATGTGACAAAGATACTGTTAGCTTGATTAAAAACGGTATTCTATCTCTGGTTATATTTAGAGAACAAGGAGGGTTTCAATGACGTTGTCTTGAAAGCTGCTAACTAGTGTGAGAGTAAGAATAAACAACGTCAGACGCAGCTGAATCAAGGATAAACCGATAGTCTGGATTTCAATTGACATTCATTTTGATTGCTCTTCAGTCGCGGAGAAGGGCAAATTAAATGGTTATTCATAGTACTTTTAGACTTCAATTCCCACCGCAATGTGGGTCTTGACAGACGGAGGATCTGCTTCGAAATTTGGCTCAAGCTTAGCCATGCGATAGTATCATGATTTAGTTTGTTCCCATAGATTACCTGCCAGGACGGAGGATCTATGAGGAGGTCAAGACTGAACACCTGTACGCGGTGTCCTCTACGAACCTGGGAGTGAAATATTCTCCCAGAGCCAAGTTCATTCAAATTTCACAATATCAAAGGAGTTGGCCCATGAGGCAAAAATTCAAATTACTCCACCATCTCAATCTTTCACTCCCAAAGAGTCCGATTCTCAAAAAAGCTTCATCAAGTTTACAAGTACGACATAGTACATCCTCACCCCAATGATCACACCTCTAGTCGACTTTCTCTGGCCTCAGTTGACCGCCAAATACACGCCCACGCCGATATTTATACCCGACGGAGGAAGCAAAGTGTGGCGCACAAATCTGGGAGATAGTTCTTTGGGATGGACGTGAGAGGGATCAGGACAAGCTTACAAGATGATGCAGAAGAGGGATACGTTTTCGACGGGCGTGAAATTCCGAATTTTGGCAAGAGTTTTACGAATTGAGCTTTGCGCGCGCCAAGACTTCGCTTGCGAGAGTGCAGTTGACACTATAAAAACAAGCAAACGATGGAAGGTGTTGTGGTCTGCCTCCTGGTGGTGTTCTTTGGTATGGTTTGAGTAGCCTGGGCACCTACTCCACTTGGGAAGGAGACATCTCAGATTACATTTCGCGCGGAGAAAAGTTGATGGATGACGGAGGCATGTCTGGATAACTCAGGGTTTTTTAGACGTTCCCCTGGGTGGGTATTCACGGATGAGGGTTGACTTGGGGTGAAGAAAAAGCCGCCATAACTTCGCAGTGGTACTTGCAAATGAAATCTGAGGCATGAGTGCTCCTCTTGTAAATTGAGTCAACTTTTCTGAACTTTTCTTTGATATTGTGTCATAGCTAGATAGCTGCATACGCAATTAAAATCTGATGCAAAAAAAAAAAAAAAAAAGGAGGATCTATGATTTCAGATAGTGGTGATAATTAATCAGAATGGATGTATGGGTGATTGACTTATTTTAATAGAGTTCACATGATTCAAAAAAGATGAATTTGGAGAAGAGAAGGTGAGGTAGGATGGCTCGGGCGTTTGTCATGAGCCATTTCAAGGTTAAATACATGACTATGAATAGCACATGGAATCTTAGCTGCGAAAATGTCTAGACGTGTCTTAAAGAAAAATAAATATCAGATTTAATTCGTTATCTTGTCGAGCAATAACAGCTTTTCGACAATCTGCCTTAGCTGGCAAGCCTTTACCAGACTTTCAGATCGTAATTATTTGCCACGAAAGTCAAAATATCTTCTGACTTTATGGAGCTACTCGCAGCTATTCATGAAAGAAATTTGGCATGAATCACAGTATGTTGATGTCGCTTAATTAAGGTCCAGAGCCAAAGTAAAGGCCTCATGTCTTACACTTGATACAGGACCGGTAGAGCCGGCAGGGATCACCATGTTATTTTCCACAGCCCACTCATGCCAACTGGATGAATCGCAACCAAGGGGGCAAGATTCAACACCTGTACGCGGTGTCCTCTACGAACCTGGGAGTAAAATATTCTCCCAGAGTCAAGTTTAGTCAAATTTCGCAATATCAAAGAAGTTGGCCCACGAGGCAATGATTCAACTTACTCTACCACGTCGATTTTTCGCTCCCAACGAGTTTAATGCTTACCTAAATCTCATCAAGTCTACAAGTACGACATAGTACATCCTCATTCCAATGACCATACCACTCTTCGACGTTATCTGGCCTCAGCCGGTCACCAAATATACGCCCACGCCGATATTTAAACCCGATGGAGGACACAAAGCGTGGAGCACAAATCTGGGAGACATTTCTTTGAGATGGACGTGAGAGGGATCAGGACAAGTTGACAAGATGATGCAAAGGAAGGATATAACCTCGAAGCGCGTGAGATTCTGAATTTTGGCAAGGAGTTTTACGAATTAGGCTTTGTGCGCGCCAAGACTTCGCTTGCGAGAGTGCAGTTGACACTATAAAAATAAGCAGACGATGGAAGGTGATGTGGTCCGCATCCTGGTGGTGCTCTCCTGTATAGTCTGAGTAGCCTGGGCACCTACTCTACTTGGGAAAGAGACATCTCAGATTACATTTCGCGCGGAGAAAAGTTGAAAGATGATGGAGGCATGTCTGGGTAACTCAGGGTTTTTGAGACGTTCCCCTGGGTGGGTATTCACGGATGAGGGTTGACTTGGGGTAAAGAAAAAGCCACCATAACTTCGCAGTGGTACTTGCAAATGAAATCTGAGGCGTGAGTGCTCTTCCTTTACTTTTAATCATATATTCTGTACTTGTCTTTGATATTCTGTCATAGCTAGATAGATGCATACGCAATTAAAATCTGATGCACAAAAAAAAAGAATCGTAACCAAAATCGCAGCAGATTTTAACAGAAACTACAAACAAAAAAATCGAACCAAACCCCAAAAACAACAGATTCCTCCACATTAGACTCAAGCAACGCGACCCTCACACATTTTCTCGCCCATCACGCCTCCCAAATGACAATTTCCCCACTCTGCTGAGAGCTAAAGATGGGTTAGCAGGTACCCTTGTTTCAGCCGGTACTCTACTATGAGTTAGTGGTGCCTAAAAGGCGTCATCGACGTTGCTGTACCCTCAAGCTTCTTTTTGGTACGCCAGAACTCCGGAGCCTGTTCCTTCTGCCATGGAGACGTCCTTCATTGAGGCGACATTCGCCTCCTCTACTCTTTTAGCTGCAAAATTTGCCCGGGATGCTTCTGGAAACCTCCTATTCTCGACTTGCTGGATCTGTTCCAGCTGCTTTTTGTTCACGGGGACGAACTTTTTGGGTCTTACTTGTCAGTCCCGAGAATCCGAGCGGTGAAGTCTCCCAGTCCCGACATCTAGCGAGGGCGTTGCACTCTGATTAAGATTGCATTGTTAATCTGTTGGTAAAACACGAAGTAATACAAATTGGGTGCCGTCACGAAGTCGGTGAATAATGTCAATTAACTGGTATCTCGATATACATAAAATGTTGTCTCTCCTTCTTCTTTCTCCATCTCCCCTTCCTTCTTCTACTCCAAGCGCCTCGCTAGTGAGCTAGATCAGACCCCTGCCAGTGTCCTAACGACAACCTGAATATCGAAAATACATAGAACAATTCACACTACCCAAATGTGATCCTTTTACCGACATAATCAGCAGATCCGACAAGCCGAAGCGCGGGAGCAGCCTCGAGTGGCGTGGAAGCCGAGGCAGCGAAAACACTGCTGAACTTTGCGGCAAGGCTTGAGCTTTGCAGTGACTCGAGACTCGTCGGAGAGGCGGAAACTCTTTCAAGGGACGGAGTCTCGGACAAAAAGGGCAGGCCAGTTTCTGTATGGCGCACCAGAACGGCACGTCCCATATAGTCGCACCTGAATTCGCTTATTGACACTAAGAAGGTATATTTTGTCAAAGTTCCAATTTTCCTCGATCTTTCTAGGGCTGATAGATGTGATAATCTTCGCGGGTATTTTCGCGATGCGAAAAACGATAAGGCCGGAGGCTTCGTCGAGTTGGGCGAGAGAGATTGCGTATACTCTGTGATAGCGTTGTTTACTGCTGTTAAAGGGAGATCCCGCACTGGCTATCTATTGGGATCAAAAGGAGTCTGGTACCTGTGTTTATGTTTATATTAGTTTATTATCCAATGAAGCCTATGACTATGCAAGGACATATAAGTCGTTTCTGCGTACAGGCCGCGAGTATCTATGCCTCGGGTAGTATACTCATTCCTTTGCCTCCCTCATAACTTCTTTCCAGCAGTAATAGCCCCACAGGCTTTCGTTCGAGTACACACTAAGAGGAGACGTTACCCCGTTATTATCTCCTCTCTCCAGCTAAGGAAGCGATGGCCATTTGCGGGTGTGTAGCTGCAGGGAAAAGTCTCAAAAACCACTGGGTGCGGGGCCCTCCTATAACGAAGAGGCCGGCCAGCCGGGCGTAGAAGACCTGTGTATACCTAAGAGCGTCTCTCAACCTTTCTAGCCTCCTCCTTACTCCTCCCTGATTCATGCCGCAGGACAAATCGTAGGTCGAGAAAGGGTGTCAGAAAAGTCTTGGTCGAGAGTGACTGTCGTGAAGTAGCCTAGCCTAGCATCCTAAAGGCGTTATGGACGTGGGGTCGTCGAGTAACTCATATATTTCAGGTGCCCTCCTGGCTAGTAGATTCGGAATTTATGATTATTAGGGACGATAATGTAGACGAGTCGAAATCTGCTTTTCTTGAGGGCGGAAGGGTCTTTTACTTTGCTTTCATGGGCTTTTTGTTCACCCACCTTTTGGCAGCAAATGTTGTAGTATAATGAGGGCTTCTCTGACTACTGTTGTAGCGTTTGGTACCGCATTACCTCTCCTCATTCCCAGCATGATTATCGTCGTCTTTGTCGTCTTGTGTGTTATCGGAAGCGCATCTTTGACGGAGGGGGAGAGAACTCAGCTCAAAGTTGATAAGGTGTTACTCAATCTCGGCTCTGCAGACTCTATAGTGAGAGCTAGAGGTTCGTAGGGGACACCACTGACAGGTGTTGAGAATAACCCCCCTGATACCTGAGTTTAGAAGAGTAATCAAATTGGCATCCATTGAGACAATGCAGTTCAGGTTCCTAATCC